GCTACACGAACGCTCGTTGCAGTGTTCGAATGTACACACGCAGGACAATACACTGTCAAAGGCACAGAGCCCAGGGACGCGTTTTTATCGAGCTCGACGCAACGGGGTAGACCGGTAAAACGGTTTCTTTTTTCACTGTGGAACCCGGTTATTTCACTCATGCATTACACACGTTAGCACTACACCCCAAATATTATGTCATGGCACACGACTCTAGGCCTTCGAAAGCGAAATTCAAGTCGGCCCAAGAAGCAGCCAACAATGAAAGCTTGTTTATTGGCGCACACTGCTCGCTCGGTGTAACCTTTGACTTTGTTTCCATTGTAAAAATATATTTACAAGGGATCCGAACCAGGCAACGACTAACTACCGCGGATTTGCCAGTGATACGATCAAGGAAAGTGACCGATTTGCGCTCACTCATTTTTTTATGTCTCAAGCTTGGCGTTCCTTTGAGCGGTGCATCTGCAGCCAGTGCGGAGACGACTTTCACAAAGATCCATGTACTTCGGTACACGTATGGATGACAGATGAAGCGAGAAGTCGCCATCGCCAGAGCAATCAGCCGAACACGGGAGTCTGCCCATGTCATTACTGCACCGTGTCGGCCATCAAGCAGTTCGCTTTTGGCAACGGCCCTTTCAAGCAAGTTAACCGGTCAACTTTCTACAACCACACCAAAACACGTCCATATGCAACCGTCGCTTCTGTCCTCGAGGAATTCCCCGCGATGCAACAGCGCTTCGAGGCGCACTTTGGAGTGGGGCAAACTGTTCCCATAGAGGTAGATCCTGCTCTCTCGGGTCCGCCACCGCTCGTATCCGAGCCAGCTGCCATGGAAGTGGATGACTACGGTGATGACTCTGGCGACATTTCTCGAGACTCAATGGTAAGGGTTGCCGCGAAGCTCGCAACGAGCGGTGCGAGCACAAACAGTCATCACTCATCCTTCTGTTCTTCTGTTCTTAGGATGTCGAACGCGACAATGACAATGATTACGAAACGGAAGGCGAAGCTAACGAAGCTGACGTTACTGAGAACGATGCCACGAACAACGCCACGAGCGAGCCGACTGCACCACCGGCAGCGCCCGAACCCGAACCACAACCGACAAGCCCTAACGATCGCCTGGCTGCTGCATACCGGCTTCTTATCCAGTCTCTGCATAGCATCAAAGATAAAGTCACAAAAGTTGTCTTCATCAACATAAACGCCTGGAATCCATCAACTGGCCTTCCTTTGTTATGCGGAAGCCTCGACAGTGCACTGTCTACCACAAGTCGTACAATGCCGAGGAGATGCTCAACTTCGTCCTGGTTTGCGGCAAGCACATCTTTCTGGGATTGGTGACCAAGAGCGTGCAAAACATCTGGTGGAACTTTTCAGAAATGACGCGAATCGCCATGTCCAAGGTGGTTCAGGTCGACAACGACTCGATTACCTCGCTCGCGAAACTGTCAAACGAGACCATCAAGAGCGTTGCTGCAGTCTTTGGGACTTGTCATGTGCCCATTACTACCCACCATCTGTCCCATCTGGCCTGGGCTTGCCAGCAACACGGCCCGCCTGCACATGTATCGACATTTCCGTTCGAGCGCGCAATCAACCGCTACGGCCGCCTCATCCGTCCTGGTCCACATGATGACATTGTTCCAAGACTGGTAGCCAGAATAGTCAAGCACGTCGACGATGTGGTTCCCTACGTTGCTGGTCGCGAGTTTGGCGTGCTGACTCGCTGTCCTGTTACTCCAGAGAAGGTCGATAACATCGTGACCAGTGTGCTCACACGCGAGAATAGAGGTTCGCCTGTTACGGTCTTCACAGCGGCCCTGCGGAGGGCGCAACTCCAGGGACAAGTTCACGCGTTCAAAACGTTGAAGATGTCATTGTGGGGCTCGCGATCTGTTTCGCTCGCCAAGGTCGGCTGCGAGGCCGTTCTTCAGATTGGGCCCGTGTTTGCCAAGCCAGCCATGTTTTGGCGTGTCGAGCAAACGATCTACGTTGAGATTGAAGTGTACTACCGGCCGACCGGTTTCGAGTATGGCAGAAATCCCGTTTACACGTCACGGACCCCCCACACCCACGAAATCGCGCTTCTCGAACCATTTGGCTGCAGCGGCTACTGTCACGCATTAACACCCGACCAACTCGAGGGGCTGAGGCAGACATTCCCACTGGAAGACCGTCCGTCAAGCTTAAATGAAAACCTATTCATCTTCGTTCCATGGCATTTGAATATGCGTGACTAATAGGTGTTCATTGTTGAGTGTATTTGTCTATATTCTAATAGAATGAGAGCTATATCCTGAGTGGAGATGCGGTGCAATTGGTGCAATCGGTGCAGTCATTTGGCTGGCGGGGCTCGACAGCGCTCCTGCGTCTATCCGACCGTCCCCGTCCGCCCTCGCCTCGAAAACAAGGTTTCCAGACCCGTGTCACATCATCCGACATGTAAAGGCGCGAGCTGAGCTTGCCTGGAGCGCAGGAGCATGGTTGTGCTGATCCCAATGGTCCGCCAGCCAATCCAGCCTCATCGTCGGTTTGCGGTCCAGCACGGTCCCTGCTGTCCGAATTCAACAACAGTGCACTACAATCGACACATATATCACAGTGCAAGTGAAAAAAGCGAGCCAAACTGACGAATTCGAGTCTCAAGACGATGAGGGGAAAACGAGCGAAAAAACTGGACTGACCGGAATCCGGTAAAATTTTCCACTGTGCTTGTTGTTGATGTGTTTTTGATTGTTTTTCTAGTTTGTATGGTTGCTGGTTTGTTGTTTCCTTTGATTTTTCAATTTTTTTCGATTTCGCCCCATTCTTCGTCCGCGCATGACTTTTGCTGCTGGACGAGTTGCGAGTTATTTGTTTTTATTCTTCTTCGACATGACACCTCGTTTGTTTTCTATATTGTCCAATTTCTGCTGTAGTCGTTTGCTCTCAACCCGAACACTTTGGTTTGGCGCTTTTCGTTTGATTCTTCTTTGTTGCGTTGGTGGTCCAAGCGCAGCTCGAACGACTTTTTTCCCAGGAACGCTTCACTTCCTTTGTTCGTTTGCTTCTCGTACGCTGTTTTCGTGTTTGCGCATGCTCCATGCATTTTGCGTTCCTTGTCACGCGAGTGTCACAATGCTCCCATAGTTCTTTAACGTTTTCACTTTATTCAAACATTTGCTTATTCATCGTCCGCTGGCGACTTTACATCGATCCAATCTTCTCTGTCTGCAATTCCGAGCAGAAGCTTCTGTAGCTCCTGCTCCTTCGCAGCGCGCAGTTGCCTTTCGTCAGCGAGCTCCTGATCCTTCACCGCGAGCTCCTGCTCCTTCATCGCGAGCTTCTGCCGTTCGTCAGCGAGCTCATGATTTTTGGCCGCGAGCTTCTGCCGTTCGTCAGCGAGCTCTTGATCTTTGGCAGCCAACTCGGAGCGCAATTGCTGATTTTCAGTTGCAAGAGTGACGGGACTCTGAGGCTCAATGCTTGCGGCTGTCGCGGCATTCAGCGCCGACGTGGCGGGCGACGGCTCTTTCTTGGGTTGGACTCTGTTCAACAATAGTTTCAGCCAATGCATCTAACCGTTGTGTTGCGCATTTTTCTTCTTGCGAATACTCAGAGTCTTACCTCATGTTCTTCCAGGTAGTGCCTTTATTGCCCGTTTGTGTCAGTGCATCGATTGCACCTCGGGACAAGAAGTTCCCGTCCAGGCTGTTGTCGGATGATTCATAGCATGAGTCTCGTGACCGTCCGAGCATTTTACGCAATCAATCTTTACTCAAGCGTCTTCAGTGTCTTGTTCACTTTGAGTGCCTGAACAATCGATGGAACTGCGGCATCGCCTATTTCATTGTGCCACAGACTGTCCGTCCCGTCCCATCAGTGAGCCACTCTTGCTGTCTCTCTCCTGTAGTCACCCACGCGCGCTTTAGTGGCAGTGTATTGCCGTACCGGAGGTGAGTAAGCGTTGTGTTCACTTTGAGTGCCTCGGCAATCGCTTGCGCTCCGGCATCACCAATCTGATTGCCGCTCAGACTGCTCATACCCTCCAGCAGTCAGTACACACAATACCTTGCTGAGTCACCCACTCACATGCATCAGTCAAATCGAGATGCCTTACACGAGAAAAGCCAGCTTAGTGTTCACTTTGAGTGCCTCAGCCATCGCTTGAGCGCCGGCATCGCCAATGTGATTCCAGCCGAGACTGCCCATCCGCTCCACTCTTAGTGCCTTTTGCTGAATAGTCTCCCACTCCAGTAAATCCGTCCGACTGAGATGCCTTACTCGAGAAAAGTCAGCCTGGTGTTCACTTTGAGTGTCTCAGCAACCGCGCGCGCTCCAACTTCGCGAATCTGATTGAAGAGCAAACTGTCCGTACAATCCATAGATAAGCTCTCTGAATGCTCTGCTGGATCACAAGCACAAACACACATGACTTACTGGATCATGGTCACTGTCGTGTTCACCTTGAGTGCCTCAGCAATCGCCAGTGCTTCAGCGTCGCCAATCTCTCTGTCGGACAGACTGTTCCCTCATTTCGTCAGTGCACCCACTGCCACATTCATTCCAATAAACTTGGCTTCGTACATGACTGTGTCGGGCTCACTCGAGACTTCGTCATACAGCTCGCGCTGCGTCTGATTCATTTTCGCATACATCAGCATTCGAAGTGTGGTCAATCAACACAGCGAAAAACAGAGACTGCCTTCCGAACAGACGTACTATCACCCAAAAACAGATTTTTACATCGCGTTGTTTTCCCACTCCTCACCCCGCCCTGCGACCGTTTTGACCACAAATCTCCCTTTTCCCTCTCTACTGCATGTATATATGTACCTTCTATGTGTTTAGAGTGAGAGGAGCGGAGGGGTGATGACTGGTACGACGGGGGAAGGAGAAAGGATGCAAAAAGGGACAAAACGCGATCGTCCAAAAAAGGGACTTTTTGGCGTTCTTTTTTCAACTTTCACAAACACAACACCATACGGACGCATGAGCCCCACCAAACCATTTCAATACTTGGTATAACCACCATGGGCATCCAAAACTGCTTTGATGCGGCGCGGCATGGATGAAATGAGCGAGGTGCAGACCTCGACGGTGAGGACCTTGTGGTAGACCTCTTGGAAGCGCTCCCAGAGCATGTCTTGGTTTGTGATCTCCCGCTGCTTGTACACAGCGTTCTTGACCATGTTCCACGCATGCTCGATGGGGTTGAGGTCGGGGGAGTTCGCAGGCCACTCCAAGAGGGTGAGGTTCTGGTTGTTGAACCATTTCATCACGTCCTTCCGCTTGTGACAGGGCGCGTTGTCCTGCATGAAAATCAGGTTTGGGTCGTTTCCCCAAGCGGCCAGACTGTCTTTCAACTCCTCATTCAGAACGGAGAGGTAGACGTCGCCGTTCATGCGGTCGCCGAGCTCGGAGAAGAAGGAGATGCCGTAACGCGAAATCGCTCCCCACACATTGATGTGCCCTCCTCCGAACTTGACAGTGCCCTGGACCGACCTGTCGTCGAGCGGTGCACCCACACACGCCACAAACAGACAGAGTTGTTGTTCCTGTACAGGTAGAGAGCGGTCTCGTCGGAAAAAACGACGTTCAACCAGGCCTCTACGGTCCAATTGGCGTGAGCGGGCGAAAGCCAGTCGGGCGTTTTTATGGCGCTGCAGCAGCCTCGCCTTTTTGACCTTCGCCGCACAAAAGAGACCCTCCCGCCGCAGCCCGTTCCTGATCGTATCTGTAGTGACATCACAGAGCTTCCATTTGCGCATGGTGGCGGCGACTTCGGTAGCTGTCTGCGACTCTCCGGTCTTAATCTGCTGCACGATGTTTACGGCGGCAGTCGAAGAAACCTTGGTCGGACGTCCAGATCGCGGCGAATCCTGCGTCCCGCCCCTCGCCGAGTAGCGTACATGGATTGCACGCACTGTGTGCCAAAGGAGACCGAGTTGGTCGGCGATCTGGCGGTAGGAGAGGCCGGCTTTGTGCAGCTCCAACACGTTCGACCGAATGACCTCCCTACTCGGCTTGATGACAGTGGGCTTCGGCGGCGATGGTGGGGATACATTGCCGCGTGTGACTCGCTTCACGGACGAAGACGGCGGGGACGAGGCACGAGTAGAACGAGCCATGGGGGCGTCGGACTGTGGAAATGAGAGAAAAAGGCGGGAAAAATTCAATCCAAAGCGCGCGCTTTGTTTCGATGTTGTTCCGCATCCACGCGGTCCCCACACGCACACTTCTCTTCCCGTCCCCGCTCCTCATCATTTTCCGATGTAGGGTACACCGACGCACACCCCACATGTGAAATAGGGCGAACTACCCGTCGTCACACGGAGATGGAGACTGAATTAACCAAAACAAATCGCGATGTAAAAAACTTTTTTGGGTGATAGTAACAAGTTGCACAACAACAAGAACACGAGCTCCACTTGATGTGCTTTCAAAGCATCGCACCAATTTCGCGGCTGCTCGTCCCGCCATCAATGCTCTTCATGGCTTTGACAAGCTGAGAAAAGCTCGGTCGGTATTCCGGGGTAATGTTCCAGCAACTCATCATCATGTTGTAGAGCTCTGGCATGCAACTTTCTGGCTGGGGCAGACGACCACCAGCCTGCACATGAGCCAGCGTATCCATGCCGTTCATCTCACCGTACGGCCTTGCGCCGTAACTAGAGCATTCCCCTACCAACAAGCACCAACGCAAGTGAGATGCAAGCACATAGTTCACGAGCAAATGGCACGCTCTACTCACAGGCTGTCACACCAAACGACCAAACATCGGACATGGTCGAGAACTTTCGGAAATTCAGTGTTTCCGGTGCCATCCACTACAAATGCAAAGTTCAACAAAATCAGCGTCAGGCCAGCAAACAGCAACCTCGTTCACACCCTCAACTAACCTTCACGGGAAGTTTGCCACGCGTTTGCATTCGATAATAATCGTTCTCGTCGGCCAGCTCGCGAGAAAGCCCAAAATCAGCAATCTTGACCACCATTCCTTGTCCTACGAGACAATTGCGCGCGGCGAGATCACGATGCACAAAGTGGAGCGTACCCAGATACTCCATGCCAAGTGCAATCTGGCGAATGGCATGGATCTGCTCGTTCTGTGTCCACTCGAACGACTGCTTTTTGGACTTTTGCAGCAGCGTCCGCAAGTCGCCGTACTGCACGAATTCAAGCAGAACGAGGTGCGGCTCTGACTCGACAAGAGCCGCGAGCAGGCGCACGACATTCGGATGCACAAATGGCGCCATCAACTTGGCCTCGCTCTCAAAGTCCTTGCGGGATTTCTCGTCTGCATCAGACTTGAGAGACTTGACGGCAACTTGCACGGATTCGGAAACTGTAGGTCCAAGCAAGGCTTGAGCTCGTGGCGGCAACACGTTGGACGGCACTTGCCCAAGGGATACATCGCCAAAGTTGCCACTAGCAAGGTGCTTCACAATGGTCAAGCCTTCACGAATGCGACGAGAGTTGCTGCCAGCGACATACGCGCTTGCATAATCGTAGACCACCTCTGGAGAGGTACTAGTAGTCGAAATGGCCTGGTAAACAGGCTCTGGCTGTTTTTGACCGACCGCAGCGTAAGCAGCGATGTCCTCGTCTTTGTGAGATCCGATTGCACGGGGCAGAGGAGAGATTGTCATTTCCACAGCCTCTTGATAGATGGGACCAGCAGAGTCCTTTGGTCGTGCAACTGAACGTCGTTGCGAACGCCGGCGTCGCAACACAATGAATACGATTGCAAGCATCGCAATAACTGCAACAGAAGCGACGGCAGCAGCGATGGCAGCAGCTGGAGATGACGATGAGTCTTGCGAGCCGCCTCCACTGCCGTTTTGTGCAATAGAGGACGCAACAGATGCAGCAGACGCCGATGCTGTCGACGCAGTAGATGCCGAAAGCGCCGAGGTGGCGGAAACAAGCGACGCAATCGAGGCAGAGGCGGCTGAGGCAGCGGAAGCAGAAGCGAAGGAAGCAAACGAAGCCGACAGAGCAGATTGAGCAGAGGCGGTCGATGCAGTCGCGCCTGATGCAGCTAAAGCAGAGACGATGGAGGCAATCGATGCGTTGGTGGCGGCCGATGCGAGGCAGTAGCCGACCATCATAACATAGTCATCATAGCACTGAGTGCAGGGATTGGTCGAAGTGCAGGTCAGACAATTGGTTGCACAACACGCACCAGACCCAGCGGCATAGCAGGTGGCACAGGCTGTATCACATTCTGCAATACAACAAGTCAGTGTCATAGTGTCATGCTCACAAACGAATTACAGTCATCTCGAACACTTACTGTAGGGCTGGGATGCACTGCCGTACGTGCTTGGCGGCGCGAGAGTATTCTCACCAAAAGTCAAGTTGTTGGGGCTCAAATATGGAAACGAATACGACAGACTCAAGGCATTTTGCAGGCCCTTGAACAGACCAGGCGGCAAAGTGGTGAAGGGATTGTCGTTCAAAGTCCTGCAAGGACCGCAATGTAAAAGTCAAGTCGATTGTGTGCATTCATGAGAGCTTTGCTTACAAGTAAGTCAGTGCAGTCAAGCCTGTGAATGTGTTTGCAGACAGGCTGCTGATCTGGTTGCTGTGCAGAGCCCTGTAGATGGAATTGCGAACGGGTGAGCCAATTGTGAATGATATTCTTCATGTTGTTGACTGCGTACAATTGCGCCAGCAAACTCAGGTCCGTCAATGAGGCGGATATGCTGGTAATCTGGTTGTTGAACAGATTCCTATGAACAAAAACAACAACAAAGAATCGCAATGGAGTGAGTCGATGATGTGATTCTTCGTGTCCTTGCTCGCTTACAACACGGTCAGCATGGTCAGGCCGGTGAATGCGTCTGCGGGAATACTGGTGATTTGGTTGGCGTCCAGTCGCCTGCAGCAATCGTGTCGCAAAACGAGTGAGCCGTTTGGTGCGACTTTTACGCACTGTGCTGCCAACCTACAGGTAAGTTAGCGCACTCAGGCCTATGAATGCATTTGCAGAAATGCTGGTGATCTGATTGGAGAATAGGTGTCTTCAGAAAGTATCGCCAACGAGTGAGCCGTTTGTGTGACCGAATTCATAGTCTTTGTCTTTGCTTACAATTGTGTCAGCGCAGTCAGACTCGTAAGTGCGGAGACGGGAATGCTGGTGATCTGGCTCTGACCCAAATGTCTACAGACAGAGTCAAACCGAGTGAGATGCGATTTGGGTGATTCTTCATCTGGCCTTGTATGGCTTTGCTGGCTTACAGAAGAGTTAGCGCAGGCAGGCCTGTGAATGCGTTGGCGGAAATGCTGGCGATCTGATTCTGATTCAACCACCTACAAGTTGCGTCGCCAGCGAGTGTGAGCCGGTTGGGTTTGATTCTTTATGCTGTTGCTTGCTTACAATTGTGTCAGCGCCGTCAGGCCTGTAAATGAGTCAGCGGGAATGCTTGTGATCTGGTTGGTGTTCAGAAACCTGTCGACCAGTTGCCAATGAGGAGGGGAATGCTTCAGTTCAAGGTCCATTGAATAGGAACCACTGACAGAATCGTTGTGTTGACTGGAATTCCGCTTGGAATCGTTGGGAGAGATTTGCTACCGCAATTGACAGTCGTTCCCGAGCAAATGCAAACGCCGCCAGTTCCACACGCAAGCGGCACGCATGATCCACTAATCATCAAAAAACCGTCATAGCACTGTGTGCACAAAGACGATGAAGTACAGAACAGACAATTGTTCGGGCAACACGAGCTGGACCCAGCGGCAAAACAGGTGGCGCATGCTGTATCACACTCTGGGGTACAAAAAATGTCAGTGTCATGCTCGCAACAGAATTGCAGTCATTTTGGAACTTTACTGTTTGGAGCGGATACAGTGCCATACGTGCTGGGCGGAGCGACAGTGTTTCCAAAGGTAAAGTTGTTGGGGGCCAGGTATAGGTTCGAAAGCGACAACGCCAAGCCATTTGGCAAGCCCTTGAACAGACCAGGCGGCAAAGTCGTGAGGGGGTTGTCATTCAAAGCCCTGCACGTTCCGCAAAGTCAGAGGCGACTCAAACACAACATGCACCTTGAGCTCTGTGCCTACACTCTAGTCAGCGCAGTCAGGCCGGCGAATGTGTTTGCAGAAATATCGACAACATGGTTGAGATGCAGGTATCTACAGATGGAGTTGCCAACGAGTGAGTTGTTTGCATGTGATCCTTCATGTCGTTGCTTTGCTTACAAGAAATTTAACGCAGTCAGACCGGTGAATGCACTTGCAGAAATGCCAGTCAGCAGGTTCTGATTTAGATATCTACAGATAGTGTCGTAACCGAGTGAGCCATTTGCAGGCGATTTTACATGTCTTGGCATGCTTACAGAGAAGTCAGCGCAGTCAGGCTGGCGAATGTATTTGCGGAAATATCGACAATCTGGTTGGCATGAAGATATCTACGGATGGAGTTGCAAGCGAGTGAGCCATTTTGCGTGTAATTCTGCATAGATTTGCTCGCTTACAAGATAGACAGTGCAGTGAGACCTGTGAATGTGTTGGCGGGAATGCGAGTGATCTGGTTGCCGTTGAGATATCTATCGATAGAGTCGCAAATAGTGAGTCGTTTGCGGGTGATTCTCCTGCCGAGGCGTGCTTACAAGATTTTTAGTGCAGTCAGGTCGGTGAATCCTGACGTGGCAATGCTGGTGATTTGATTGGCTTGCAGATATCTGCAGATGAAGTCCCCCCCCCCGCCCCCCAACGAGTGAGTCAGTCGTGAGTTTCTTCTTTCGTTGCGCGCTTACAATTGCGTCAGCGCAGTCAAGCCCGCGAATGCGCTTGCAGAAATGCTGGTGATCTGGCTGTTGGATAAATCTCTACAGATGGGGTTGCAAACAAGTGAGGCATTGGAGTGTGATTCGCCACCTATTGTGCTTGCTTACAAATCAGTCAGCGCAGTCAGGCCTGTAAATGTGTTTGCAGAAACGCTGGTCATCTGGTTGCCGAAAAGAGATCTATTTCGAAAAAAAAAAAAAAAAAAAAAAAACGAGGTTATTGACCAGTCAGCCGGTTTCGAGTGATCTTCCTGCAATTGCTTTGCTTACAAGATTGTCAGGGAAGTCAGGTCTGCAAGCGCAACAGCGGGAATACTGGTGATCTTGTTGTTGTAGAGATGCCTACAAATAGTGTCGCAAACGAGTGAGCAGTTTATGCGTGAGTCTTCATGGCTTGGCTTACTTACAGGATGGTCAGCGCAGTCAGGCCCGTGAATGCCGACGCAGGAATCCCGGGGATATTGTTTTCGGGCAAAAACCTATCAAACCGGATGCCAAATAAGGAGGGGCGAAGGTTAAATTCAAACAAAACG